CATTTAGAAATACTCTTTTTTCTTATTTGAAGAATTGGATAACCGTTACTTACAATTACCTTGCATAATCCTTCTTAATTAGTTCAAAGGGAGGGTGGGGAACTAGGAGACTCAAGGCAAGGTATTCCTTCCAGACAGAGGAACAAGTATTAGACAACATATTTTGCATATCTAGCACTGCTGTAGATGCGAATACTTCACATGCAGTTAATTATCAAATGATTTTACACCTTTCTTCTGATTTTTTTCTCTACTCTACCTACTTTTCCATCCATATTGTCAATAATTGAGTTTTATATCATATTTTATGAAATAATATCAGAAAATACAATTAACATGGATTGATATGCCAGGTACTCTGCCAAGCAATTTATATTGATTATCTGATTCATCCTATTAAAAGCCTGAAAAATACAATATCTCACTAAACAAAACTATATATTCTTATCATATAATCCAGCAATCTCACACCTTGGTATTTAATCCAAAGAGTTGAGAACTATCTACACAAAAACCTGCACATGGGTGTTTATAGCAGCTTTATTCATAATTGCTAAAACTTGTAAGTAACCAAGTTGCCCTTCAGTAGGTGAATAGATAAATAAATGGTGCTATGTCCAAACAATGGAATATTATAAAGTGCTAAAAATGAAATGAGCTATCAAGCCAGGAAAGAAACATGGAGGAACATTAAATGCATATTACTAAGTGAAAACAACAACAACAATCTGATAAAGGCTACATTCTGTATAATTCCAACTATATACCATTCTGAAAAAAAATCAAAACTATAGTTATAGTAAAAAGATTAATTCTTGCCAGGGGCTGTGAGGGTGGGTGGATAAATAGAACAAGTACAGATAACTTTTAGGACAGTAGAATACTCTGTATGATAGCATGACAGATATATATATATATATATATATATATCATTATACATTTTTCAAACATGTAGAATGTTCCATAATGTAGAGTGAACCATAATGTAAACTATGGACTTTGGGTGATGCTGTGTCAATGTAAGTTCATCAATTACATACAAGAAATGTGTCACTCTGATGGGGGATATTTTTAATGAGGGAGGCTATGCATGTGTGGTTACAGGAAGTATATGAGAAAGCTCTGTACCTGTCCCTCAATTTTGTTGTGAACCTAAAACTGCTCTAAGAGTATAAATTTTCTTTTTCTAAATCTCATTGAGGCATAGAGAAGTTAAGACATTTCCCCAAAGTTAGACACTTGGTCAATGGTATAGCTGGACTTTGAACCCAAACAATATATTTCATTCTGAATGATGACAATACGTTGTTTTTTTTTTCCTTCCTGATCATGAGCTTTCTCCTTCTAATTTGTCCTTCTTTCAGTCTTTGTAAAAATTATATATTTTTTTTAGATCACAGAACTTTTCAGAGCTTCCTAGTTTCAAATACATTAAATTTAAACAGACTTTAACTTTTAAATAATCTAAAACATGGCCCTTTTATAATTAATTAGCTTTATTTCTCACTGAACAATAACAATTATCATTTTTTGAGTAGGGGTCACTTTATATACATGCAAATAAAACATAACAGGCAATGTCATTGTGGAGAATATGGTATAATATTTCAGATATAGACAAAAACAATTTAGCATTTTGAATGAATTACATCATCTCTTCCCTATTTTGAATGTAAGGATATTGAAGCTTAGCACAGGTGGATAAATCACTCACAGTCACATAGTTAAAAAGAATCCACTGATTTCAAAATTTTTTAATTTCTGCAACACTGCCTCCTTCTGGCTGAAAATGAAAAATCATCAAATTCCTCAACTGTACAAATTATACAAATTTATCATCCCACTAACTATCCATCCATACAATATTTAATGAGCACCTACTACCTACCAGAGCCTTGTTGAGTGCTGAAGATACAGAGTTAACCGAGATATAGTTGTCACACTTGATTCCAAAGAGCTTTCATAGTTCACATTTGAGGCAAATCAGGGATTTCCATCACTAACAAGCATTCAAAACTCATCACCAAAGTACCACACACAAGGAACATTATATGCTTAC